GAATCAGACACTTCTTAATCTCCAAACTGATATCATTGCTCTTCAGTACTCTGGAAAGGCCCTGACAGCAGACTTTCCTTTGATGCAATTTGTCTTTTAATTTCCTGGCTGCCGGTACCAAGAATGTTGGTTGCAGAGCCAAGCAAACTGAAGCTGTTAACAATTTCCATCTCTTCACCATCTATCATGATTCTGCCAATCAGTGGTGATAATCTTTGTTTTCTTGATGTTAAGCTTTAATTCGTATTGAAGGCTACAGTCCTTGACCTTCTGCAACAAGAAATTCAGATCCTCCTCCATTACAGCAAGGAAGGTTGTGTCATTTGGGTAACTCAAGTTGTTGATGAATCTACCTCCAATCCTGATGCCACATTCCTTCTCATAGAGCCCAGCCTCCCAGATAATCTATTCTGTATATAGATTGAAAAGGTATGGAGATAGGACACGTCCCTGACATACATCCTTCCCGATTTTGAACCATGCAGTGTTTCCTTGCTCTGTTCTGATGACTGCCTCCTGGTCCAAGTATGGGTTTTGCATAAGCACAATTAAGTTTTCTGGGATTCCCATTCTTCTCAGAGTTAGACAGTTTGTTGTGATCCACACAGTCAAATGCCTTTGCATAGTCAATGAAACACAGATAAACATTTATCTGGTACTCTCTGCTTTCAGCTAAGATCCATCTAACTTTGGCTATAATTCCCTAGTACCATAACCCCTTCTAAATCCGGCCTGCACATCTGGTGGTTCTCTGTTGATGTGCTGTTCCAGTCATTTTTGGATAATTTTCAGCCGAATCTTGCTTGCATGTGATATTAACAGTATTATTTGATAATTTCTGCACTCTGTTGGGTCCCCTTTCTTTGTAACATGAACAAATATGATTTATTCCAGTCAGTTGGCCAGGTGATTGTCTTCTATATTTCTTGGCACAAGTTAGTGACCAATGTATTACATTGGGCAAATCTGCCACAGAAATATTAAGAAAGAAAGATGTCACTTTGAAGACTAAGATGCACCTGGCTTAAGTCATGGTATTTTCAATTGCCTTATACTCACGTGAAAACTGGACAATGAATAATGAAGACCAAGAAGTCTTGATGCTTTTGAATTACGATATTGGTGAAAATTATTGACTATATTATGGATTGTCAAAACTAATGAATTTCTCTTGAAAGAAGTACAGCCAGGATGCTCCTTACTCGAAGGGAGAATGGTAAGAGTTCAGCTCATGTATTTTGAACTTGTTATTAAGTAACACAATATCCTGAAGGAAGCATCATACCAGTTAAAGTAGGTTAGCAAAAAAGAAGATCCATGTCCTCAAGGAATCGATTGCCACTTTAGCTTTAGCAGTAGGCTCAAATGCAGCAATGATCGTGAAACTGGCACAAAACTGGGTAGTGCTTTGTTCTGTTGTGCATAAAGTCAGAACTCTGAGTCCGAACTCATTGAGTGGCACCTAACAACAACACAGTGGTGATCCAACAGAATGTGAAAATTATCAAATATCATTAATATCACATGCAAGCAAAATATTGCTGCAGATCATCCAAAAGCAACTAGAACAATTCATTGAAAGAGAACTGCTGGAAGGTCAAACTGAGTTTAGAAGAGGCTGTGGTAGTAAGGATATCATTGCTGATGTCAGAAAGATCTTGGCTAAAACAAAGAATACTAGAAGAATGGCTATTTGTGTTTTCTTGACTAGGCAAAGGCACTTGACAGTGTGGATCACAACACACTATAGCAAACATCGAGAAGGCTGGAAATTCCAGAACACTTAATTATGCCTGTATGCAATGTAGACCTAGACCATGAAGTTGTTATCCAAAGAGAGCAAATTAAGAAAAGTGTGCACCAGGGTTGGACCCTTTCTCCATACCTATTCAATCTCTATATTGAGAAAATTATTCAAGAATATGGACTCTGTGAAGAAAAATGTGATGACATCAGGATCTGAAGAAGACTCATCAACTATCTGTGTCCTAGGATAATGCTTGCTGAAAGTGAAAAAGACTTGAAATACCTGCTGCAGAAAATCAAAGACTACAACTTTCAATACAGATTGCATCTCAACTTCAGGAAGACAAAAATTCTCACCACTGGACCAATAAGCAACATCATGATAGATGGAAGAAAGATTGAAACAGTCAACAATTTCCTCTTACTCGGATTCACAGTCCCTTGATACAGCAGTCCAGAGATCAGGAGACATATTGCATTAAGCAGTCTGATGTCAGAGATCTCTCCAAAATACTGAGGAGCATTCATGACAATTTGGAGAATAAAGTGCAGGCCATGGTCTTTCTGATCACTTGCTTTGCATCTAAGAGGTGGATAATCAATAAAGATGAAAGAAGAATAATTGATGTCTTTGAGCTCTGATGTTGGATAATACTGAATATCGCATGGATTGCCAAAAGAACAAACAGATATGTCTCAGAGAAAGTGCAACCAGAATGTTCCTTGGATATAAAGATGACAAAACTTCATCTCACATTCTTTGGATATGTTACTAGGAGAAGCTATTCCTTGGAGAGGGACCTTATATTTGGAAAAGTGAAGGGCCAGCAAAAAAGAGGAAGACCTTCAATGAGATTAATTGACACAGTGACTGCAGCAATGGCCTCAAGTGTGTCAGAGATAAGGATGACACAGGATAGGATAGGGTGAAGATGTTTTTCATGATTCATACTTGATAGCACCTAATAATAACAACTGTCAAGGACTTCTTTAAAGTACTAAAGAGCGAAGAAGTCCATTTAAAGACTAAGGTGAGCTAATCCAAGCCATGAAATTTTCAATTACTTTTATTCAGAGTAGAATAATGAATAAGGATAACAACAACAAAAAAAAGACTCTATGCCTTTGAATTATGATGTTAGTGAAGCATACTGAATATCCCATGAACTGCCAAAAGAGCAATCTGTCTTGTAGGAAGTATATAACCAGGGTGATCCTTAGAGGCAAAGATGATGAAACTTTTCTCATATACTTTGGGAATGTCGTCAGGAGAAGCCAGCCTTTGTAAAAAGACAGCATGCTGGGAAAGAGAGATGGTCAGTTAAAGGGAGAAAGATCCTTAAGGAGTTGGACTGACACAGTGATTGTAATAATCGACTTGGACAATTGTGGAGATTGTGAGAGTGGTGAAGGACAAGGCAAGGCTATGATGTATTCATTGGATTGCTACAAATTATAACTCACTTGACAACACCTAACAACAAGAACAGCACACAAGACTACATTCACAGTTATTCCACGGACACCTGATGGAAGTCATGTTGCTGTTGTTATTGAGTACAACTCAGAGCAACCCTATGAACCAGAGACCTGAACCGTACCCTATCCTGTGCCATGCTCACCAGCTCTGAAATACGTTAGCCCTTTGTTACAATCACTGTGTCAATCTACCTCCCTAACGGTCTTCCTCTGTGTTGCTGACTTTTCACTTTTCCAGACATATCCTTTTCCAAGGACTTGCCCCTCCTCACAACATACCCAGAGCGTGTGAGACAAATCTTCACCATTCTCACCTCCAAGGAGCACCCTGGTGGCACTTTTTCCAAGACATAACTTGTTTGTTCTCTTGGCAGTCTATCAGATATTCAGTGTTCAGTATTGGATATTCTTCTCCAACACCACAACTCAAAGGCATCAATTCTTCTCTTGTCATCCTTATTCATTGTCTGACTTTCAGATGCATAGCAAGTAATTGAAAACACCACGGTTTGAATCAGGTCTTTAACATCATGTGTTTTATAGTGAAACTTTATTCCAGTTTAGTAGCTCTGATCTTTCTTTTCAGGTATCTCTGAGTGAGTTCAAATTTTTGATCTGTTGATTAGGAGATAAGCACTTAACCACTTGCACCAATTTAAGACACCATTTACATATGTGTTGCTGTTGTTGTTGTTGTTGTTAAGTGCTGTCAAGTCATAGGCCACTCATAGCGACCCTATGAACGAAAGTCCTCGACAGTTACGAGACTTTCATCCTTTCTCCACATTCGTAGGGTTTCCCGAGACAAGCTATTTACAGAAGTGGATGCCACTCCTGCTTCCAAGCTTGTTTTAGCTGGGGAGCACCACCAAACACTGTCTGCGATGGGTAACCATTATCACATTTGTCGTGTCAGTGTCACAGTGTGCAGCTTCACATCGACCACAAGTTGCCTCTGTACAGCAAGTGGACACACAAGGGCTATATGACCTAGAAGAATGTTTCACCAAAACAATTAAAGACGGGCCTTGGGGCTGCAGATTAGAGTCACCCACCTGTGGCTTGGTAGCATTGCTTTTGGTCCAATAGGCCAACTGGTCTCTCTCTCTCTGTTGTTAAGTGCTGTCGAGTCGTAGGCGACTCATGACGACCCTATGAACTAAAGTTCTACATACATAGAAATTAATAATATATAACATGTATTTTGAGGAGATGCAACTTATAATAGATTGCTTGCTAGAATAATCAAGGAAGAATAATCTTGGAAGTTCAGATGAAAAGAGAGATTATCCATCCTGGCACAATATGTGTAGAAACTTCTCATAGTATTTAAAGTTGAAAGATAAAAGAATAAACACGTTGTATCAGGAGGGGATGGAATGATTGGAAGGTCCATTGAAGGAAAGTTTTCATTTTGAGAGAAAAGAGAAGAACGGGGAAGTCTTTGGAGTCAGGGGTTAAGTCTTGGTTCCACCGTTTCAATCATCTCACCTAGAGCAAGTTGCTTAGTCCATCTGTACCCAAATATTCTCATCGGATACATTTAAGAGACATAAAATGAGAAAGGAAAAGGTTCCTTTTTCACTGGATTAATGAGAGAATGAAAATATTCAAGGCATAAAGTAGTTAATCAATTCCCATTGCTATCCTGGATAATTGATTATTGATCAGCAGGTAGCTCTTTGGGGAGGACTAGGTATGGTGGAAGCTGATGAGCCGTCTATATCCAGTGACTGACTTCTCTCCTTCTCACACTGCTTCCAGATATATTCTCCATGCTGGAAATTAACAGCTCAGTAGTATCTGAGTTCATCCTTATTGGCTTCTCCACCTTCCCTCACCTTCAGGTAATGTTCTTCTTGCTGTTCCTGCTAATGTACTTATTTACATTGTTGGGGAACCTTCTCATCATGCTCACCATCTGGAATGAGCGCAGCCTCCACACGCCCATGTACCTCTTCCTGTGTGCCCTCTCCATCTCTGAGATCTTCTACACCTTCGCCATCATCCCTCGCATGCTGGTTGACCTGCTCTCGAGTCATCATACCATCACCTTCATAGCTTGTGCTAGTCAGATGTTCTTCTCATTCACGTTTGGTTTTACCCACTCTTTTCTGCTCACAGTCATGGGCTATGACAGATACGTGGCCATCTGCCATCCTCTTCGTTACAATGTCCTCATGAGTCCTCAAGGTTGTGCCTGCTTGGTGACCTGGTCCTGGGTTGGAGGTTTCATCATGGGGATAGTGGTGACAACGGCCATTTTCAACCTCAACTTCTGTGGCCCCAATGAGATTCATCATTTTGCTTGCCATGTGCCACCACTACTGAAGTTGGCATGTGGTGATAATGTGCCAGCTGTGGCCAAGGGTGTGGGTATGGTGTGCATCACAGCCCTCCTAGGCTGCTTTCTCCTCATCCTCCTCTCCTATGCCTTCATTGTGGCCACCATCTTGAAAATCCCCTCTGCAGAGGGTCGACACAAAGCCTTCTCCACCTGCGCCTCTCACCTCACTGTGGTCATTGTGCACTACGGTTTTGCCTCTGTCATCTACCTCAAGCCCAAAGGTCCTCAATCTCTGGAAGGAGACACCCTTATGGGAATCACCTATACAGTTCTCACACCATTCCTCAGCCCCATCATCTTCAGCCTCAGGAATAAGGAGCTGAAGAATGCCATGAACAAGACCTTTCTCAGCAAATTCAATACAGAAAAACTGTGATGCTGTGTGCAAAAGTCTTTGGAGATTTCACGTTGGAGGCAAGGATTCTGAAGCTTTATCTGTCATCCTTTGGACATGTTGCAAGGCAAGATCAGTCCTCAGGGAGGGACTTCATGCTTGGGAGGGTGGAGGGACAGCGCAGGAGGGGAAGACCCTTGATGAGACGGATTGATTCTGTCACTGGGGTAATGAGGATAGGGGCGTCAGAGACAATAAAGTTGGGAAGAGAGCAGGGTTTAGGGCTATTGTGCATAGTGTCACTATGAGTTGCAAGCACCTCGACAGAACGTAACAGCAACAATTCTCTCCCTAATAATGCAGTGGCAATTCAGCTGTTTGTACCTACCAGTACTACTTTAGAGAAAGATGTAACAGTCAGTTTCCAGAAGGTTTTATAGCCATGTAAACCTAAGGGGCAATTGTACTCTGCCCCATCAGGTCCCTATGAGTTGGAATCACGAAATAGCAACTGACTTGTTTGGGGGAGGCATTTACGGAATCTTGGGCAGGAAGACCAAGTGCCCCATAGGAGAAAGATGCGTAATCTCCTCCTGTGCAATTCATAGCTTCTGAAAATTTATTGGAAGGTTAGTTATGAGTTGATTGATTCCCACTCTACATACCATAACAACATAAATTACTACACCAGACTATTACCAAGGAGAGTAATCTATTAATTAAAAAGAAGTCTGTTGCTGACTGGAAACACTAAGTCTCTGTAAACTTCCATTAAAATTAATTAAAAAAAGAAGTCTGTTGCTGTTGTATCAAATCTGACTCTTGATGACTCCTGTTCATTAGGATTTTCTTGACTGTAGTCTCTACAGAAGCAGATTATATTCAGGAGGTTTTCTTCTCCATGGTGCTCCTGCTGTGTTCAAACAATCAGTCTCTAGGTAAATATTCAATGGTACCATTTGTAGTTACCTAAAGAAGAGTGTAAGAGTAAAGAGTAAAAAGCAAATCTTAAACGGCAGCATTTTGTGGGGATCTATGCAGTAGCAGTTAGAAACAGCAGTAGATAAATAGACTCACAGAAAAAAGTCAAGGAAGACTCTGTATCTTGACTTTATTTTGAACAGTTGCTAAAAGAAGAAAAAGGAAGAAAAGCTCTCTAGTTTGTTCAAAGGGGAAAGACTCACCATGAGAAATCAAGAGCTATGTTAAAAAGTGACCAGGTAGAATATTGTATTGAATCACAATGATGAATGCAGAGTCCTAAATGGAAATGTAAGCACAATCACATCAGCTTTCGGGCTAACCCAATTCCCAATGTTGTTGTTAGGTGCCACTGAATTGACGACAACTCATGAAGGACAGAAACTTACCCTCATCCTGCACCATTGTCACTAACTCTGATCTGCTCAAGCCCATCGTTACAGTCACTCTGTCAGTGCATCTTTTTGAAGGTCTTCTCTTTCTCTGACCTTGCACTTCTCCAGCATGATTTCCCAATGAATAGGGATTTTAAATGAACCTTATTGTTAGGTGGTTTTGGGTCATTTGCAATTCATAGCAACTCTTGTGACAAAGGATAACTGCCTCATCTGATTTCATTATCCAGGTCTTTCTCCCAAGAAACCACTGAGTGGTCTTGAACTATCAGCTTTTCTGTTATCAACAAATACCCCTAAAGTTGACTATACTGTATTATACTGTTATTGTGTACTGGTGGAGTCGGAACCAACCCATAGCTGACCCTCCATCAAGTTTTCGCAGGCAGTTAAGCACACAGGAAGAGATTGCCTGTCCGTCTGTGCAGTAGCCGATAGGTTTGAATCACATGCTTTTGGGATTATAGCAGAGTTTCTCACCACTAGGTCACCAGAACTTCTACTGAAAAAATTATATTTTCATGTTTAAATTGAAAAGTAAGGTCTATATCATTTGTTCTTGGGTGTGAATTTAGTCTTTCTCTACATATTTTTGCAGTAAAAGTATTCCCTGATAACATAAATTGGAAGAATGTGGAAGTCATTTTAGTCAAAACTGGAGAACTCAGAGCAAAATGCGCCCCTTTCAGACTACTAAGCATTTCTCCCTATCACCTTTCATGGATATTATCTCATTGCAAACTCACAACAGAGAATTGGAGAAGATATAATTTTTTAGCTTGAGGAGTAACTGAGACTCAAATATTTGTATGGCTCATTGAGGACCCTGCAACTTGGCAGAGCTAGGCTTATTATTTAGTTCTCCTCCTTCCTGGATGTGGCCCATTCATGTAGGAGGACTGATCCATCTTCAAACCAAACAGTTAAGAATCCTAAGAGTGTTTACAACACTGGTGGCTGTTAAGTTTTATTCATCGTTGTTGTTGTTATGTGTCATTGAGTCACCTGTGACTCATAGCAACCCTGTGTTTAGCAGCTCTGAAGCCTGCCCTGTCCTGAGGCAATTTCACTGACTTTGAGCTACAAACATCCCCCCACCCCAGTTGCCCTAGTCATTGTATCAATTCATCTCATGCTGGGTCTTCCTCTCCTGTACTGTCCTCCGTCCTTCCAAGCATTATGTCCTTCTCCAAGGATCAGTCCCTTCTAGCAACCCTATAAAAAGAGTAGAAGAGCTTTGTAGGATTTCCAAGGATATAACATTTAAAGACACATCTTTCTCCCACAGAACTGTTTCAAACTGTTGACCTTCAGTTAGCAGCCATGCACTTGGACCCTGAACCACCAAAGCTCCTTTCATTGCATTTGTAGGTAACTTCAATATACCGTGCTTGGGAGTCCTTTGAATACTTCCAAGAGTCAGAAGTGCTTCATGATTTAAAAATTCCTTGTTAGTTGTTCAGGAATTTCTTAACAATTTTCCCAACTGAAGTAAGATGCCCTCTTTCAGTATTTAAAAAAAAAAAAGCTGGAACATAATTTTGAAGGCCAAGCTCTTTGATTTTCTTAATTAAATATCTTCGTCTCCAACCCTCATCATATCCAAATGGGCGGAGCATCTGAAAAGCAGTTGGATATTTCCTCTGAGCCAGACACCTAATGTCTTGTGATTATCCCTCTGGCTATATGTTCATGAGGCCAGGAATTGTGTATGTCTTGCTTTGCAGCACACCAGTAACCAGTGTGGTGCTCGGAATATATAATAGATCACTCATGAACATTTCTTGGGTGGATTAAATGAATCCTCAAAATGCTAACCAAACTACGTGCTGGTGGTGTTAGACTCTAATCAGTTTTGACTCAGAACAAAATCCTGCTCAATCCTGAGCCATATTCACAATCCCCACTGTGCTTAAGCCTGTTGCTGCTGTCACTGTGCCAGTTCATCTCTTTCAGGGTTTCCACTCCTGTTAACTCTCCAACCTTCCACGCATGATGTCCCTTTCTAAGGACCAGTCCCTCCTCACAACATGCCCAAAGTTTGTGAGACAGAGTCTTACAATCCTTGCCTCCAGTTAGCACTGTGGCTACACTCCATTTAGAACAGATTTCTTTTGTCAGTCCATGGGATATTCAATATTCTTTGTCAACACCACAATTCAAAGGGGTCAATTGTTCTACCTTCCTTGTTCTTGGTGCAACTTTCATATGCATACGAAGCAATTGAAAATACCATGGCTTAGGCCAGGCACACATCAGTTATTAAAGTCAATTCCTTACTCTTTAGCACTTTAAAGAGGTCTTTGGTAGCAGATTCACGCAATGCAATAAATAGTTTGATTTTTTTTAAGCCAGTCAAATTCAACAGAGGGGTGGTGGTTGTTATTGTTGTTGTTATGTTGTTGTTAGGTGCCACTGAGTCGAGCACAACTCATAGGGATGCTATAAACAACAGATCTAAATCTTGTCCTACCTTGAACCGTCCTCACACTTCCTGACACACTAGAGCCCATTGCAGCAGTCACCGTGTCAGTCCACCTGGTCGAGGATCTTCCTCTCCTTTGTCAACCCTCCACCCTTCCAACCATGATGTCCTTCTCCAAGGAATAGCCCCTCCTGGTAATATGCCCTAAGTATATGAGGCAAAGCCTCATCATTTTTGCCTCTAAAGAGCACTCTGGCTGCACCCTCTCTAAGACATATCTGTTTGTTCTTTTTGGCCATCTATGGGATGTTCAGCAATCTTCTGCAACACCAGAGCTCAAAGAAATTATTCTTCTATTGACTTCATTCATTGTCCAACTCTACCGGCTTTAGCTGCACTGGTGGTAATAGATTCTGACAACCCATTACCATCATACCAGCCTCATTTGTCTCCTTGACAGTGTTTTCATGGGTTTTGATTGTGGATCCACATAAAATTTCATCCTGGACAACTTCAATCTTTTGTTCATTTATGACAACGTTGCTTAGTGGTCCTGTTGTAAATTAACACAAATGTGGCTTTATCTAGTTACTGCTTAATTCAAACTTGAAGGCACAGTTAACTCATCCAGCCACTAAAGAAAGAATAGTGATGGAAGTCCACTTAGAGGTGCCTGAGAGATAATCCTTTTACTAGTTTCAAAAACATCAGACCTTGAAAACCCTGTGGAGCACTGTTCTTCTCTGACACACCTGAGTCTCCATGAGTTTGAATCAACTCAGTGGCAACTGGTTGATTATGAAAAATTTGACAGTTCCCAGAGTAGCAGAAAAGGTGTATTGTTGGTTGCAATAAACGTGTATTTTGAATCTTCTATTGTGATCATAGGGCTTTCACTGGATGACTTTGGAAGTAAATATTATCAGCCTTTTCTTCCTAGTCTCTTTTCATATGGTTGTTGATTTTATGTACTGTTGGTTTGGAACTAACTCATAGCTGAATCTCCAGCAGTTTTTCAGAGGCTGTAAATCCTATGGGAGGAAACTGCTCATCTTTCCCCATAGAGCTGCTGATGTCCTTGAACCACATGCCTTTGGGGTGGCAACGCAAATCTTTATCCACTAGGCCACCAGAACTGCTCCTCTAAATGTTTTGTTATGTCATGTATGAAACTGCCATAAGTCAGAGACAGTTTGATGACAACTTAGGATGACAGCATGTTAACATAATGTCATGTTTTA